CCTTTGCCATCCTGTTTTACACGAGGGCTGTCAGGTCTTGACTTCTGGTCCGACTTCTGATCCCCAGAAGAAAATCTTTCTCTTGATTCACCAGAGTCATGTCTGTGTTTCCTTTCAAATTTCTCAGGTTTTGAACCATCAGATTTAATACCATACTTAGAATCATGTTCATTTCTGTTCGAGGATCTCAAAAATTCAGTCCTTCTAATCTTTGATGGATCTCCTCTGTATCTTTCTGATTCCCTGTCCTCAGATCTCTGTTTAAGGCTATCGTGGTCACGTCTCTGAGCATCAGAAACTGAACGCCCCTCAGGCCTTTGCTTCACTGGATCTGATCTACTATCAGGTTTTAGCTTTGAAGTATCAGATTTCATATCAGGTTTATGCCTAGATAATTCAATTTTCTTTTCTGACAATGGTTTACTGGAATCCCTCCTGTTATCATGTCTATGTTTTGGTGTTTCAGGCCTGACTTCACTCTTCTGCTTGGGTGTTTCAGGCCTGCTTTCACTCTTCTGCTTTGGCGTTTCAGGCCTCTGTCTTATTTCTTGTTTACCATTATTTTGTTTTCCCTCATTTTGTTTCATCTCCATTTGTCTGCTCTCATTCTGTTTTGACTCTGCCTGTCTGTTCTCATTTTGTTTCATCTCCACTTGTCTGCTATCATGCTTGATTTCATACTTAGCGTCTACCTGTTTATTGTCATTGTATTTAATTTCCAACCTTCTGCTCTCATTTTGCTGAAACTCCATTTGTCTGTTCTCATTTTGCTGGATATCTGTCTTTTGAACCTCAAATTCTGACTTTTTCCTGAAAATCTCAGGGTGGTTTTCAGGTTTAAGTTTAAGAACTCCAACAGTCTCTTCTTGGGGAATACACACAAATCCATCATTATACTGCTTAATCTCTTCAGGTTTTTTGATAGCCTCAAGTTCCTGAGTTATTGTTGCCTGAGAGTCTGCTCTTCCTGCTTGCTGAAGATCGATACTAACCATCAGCGCTGGCCTTGCCCCATTTCCTGCAGAACCTGTCTCCTGAGAAGCTGGCCTATTTCCTCCAGCAGCACCCCCAGCCTCCTGTGGTTTGTTTTCTTGTTTTCGCTTCTTCAGAGGCTTATCTGCAAATTAACAGAGAAAAATAACAAATGATATATATAGAAAAAGGTTAATTGTATAAGCAATATCTTCCTGGCCATTCTCAGCATGTATGATCATATATAAGAAAAGTCATTGAATTTAAAAGCAAGAATAGATCTTCTCTAGCTAACACTTTTTAATGCATTCATAGACTATTGTTCACTGCCAGCCAAACAGAGATTCCAATTATTCATTAGAAAACCTCAAAACACATGAAATCAAGGCTCCTGTAAAACTTGCATGAGAACAACCTAACAAAGCAGTCACAACAAATAATGACAAAGACAAGCAAGCAAACAAAAATACTTAATGTTGAAGCAAAAGTCTGCTAAGACCAGCTTAAAGTGCACCTTCACATCTACTCTTTGATGAATACTACTACTGTAAAAGATTCTCATTTGCAAATACAGCCTGCTTCATTATACACAAAATTAGTAAGGATCTGCCATGATTAAATCAGAGGCTCTCCCTGCATGGTTCTGTTCATCAGCTGGATTTCATGGATATTAATGACATGAGTAGAGGAACAATGTGCAAAAATGATTAAAATAACTCCAACACTCTGTGCTTCTCTTTGAATCAAAGTAGTATGCCAAGAGTTGGAGCCTACACAATAACATGTATACTAATTAGGGGGCAGCTATGCAATTACAAGATTGAGTAATTTTCCTTCAAAACCATAGCACTTTGCATAGATGAAATAAAAAGTTAAGTGATAATTTTACATAGTGTAAAGAGCTTGAGTCTTCAACAGTCCTTCCACTTTATATAAAAAAGTTACCAAGAGTAGAATACAGAAAAATAAAAAGCGAGCCAAACATACACTTTGTAATTTGACAGAAGTCACAGAAATGAATAGCACATGGAAATGTCAAAATGAATGTGTTTTGTACAGCTATTACAAGCTATTTATTTTACCAACGTGGTATATAAAGTAAAATTAATTAATGACATTAAAACTGTAAGTCCTACCTGTACTCATTTGTGAACTACCATCATGTAATTTATTAAATAATGATAATAATAATAATAATTTAAAAAGCAATTACCTTCTCAATAATCAAGGAATATAGTCTTAAGTATAAGGAATGACTAAATATAAGTCAGAAACTGTTCTGTAGATCTATGGTCAGTCCATACTACAAACACAATGTAAGAAAAATAATTTATTTGGTGCCTACATTTGTGGTGTCTTAGCTCTCTTTTAGAGAGCAGGGGAAAGCTAAGAAGGATGCAATCAAAGATACCCCTGAAACTGTATAGATTGTAAACCAAAATGACAACATATGTCTTATAATTTCATCTGTTTTAGAAGATTCTTTTTCGAAACAGTGAAAACTTGGAAGAATCATCTTCAAAATTAAAATCAGAACAAAGGAACAAGGAGAATCACAGAATCACAGAACTGTAGGGACTGCAAGCACTCTCCAGAAATCAACAAGTCCAGCCCCACTGCACAGCAGGTTAATTTCAGTAATGTAGACAGGCTTTTTTACCCCATCATTTTCATTCTCATATCTATTTGTGCACTTCTACTTCCTATAATTTTAAAATTATATCCAGCCTTTAATGGTTGGTAGGCAGTGAAGACATAGACTAAACTCCATGCAGGGAATCATGAACTCATGGATTCTGAATTGTATCTCATGAATTCATGGAACTGAAAACAAGGAATTTTTCAAAATTCTAAACAAAATCCTGTAGGAAAGCCTGCCATAGTTATTATAGACATGCTACCTAGAAATTTATGATAAAATTGCCACTTAGAATATGCAGCTTTTCAGTACAGATGTATTTTTTTGCAGAACATATCAATTTCCTTAAACTACTAATTAAATATATATATTTTATATATATATATATATATATATATATAAAATTTTCATAGAGTGACAAAAATTCTTTTTCTCTCTGTGACTTTGAGGCCTTTGAACTTTGACCTCAATGAACTTCATGGTAGGTTTCCAGAATAGTCAGGAAGTGGATGCCTCCAAAATGAGAGCTGGTAAGTTTCAAATTTGCTTTTTCTTTTCTTTTTTTTTTTTAATTTAAGTATACACACATATACACACTACCTTCTCAACTGAAAAATCCATTTGAAACACTAATTAAGAAAATTTTGCTCTTAAGAAAAAGTCAGTCAGCTTCTTCATTTTAACCCAGAAATATCAGCCATACGAAAAAAGTTTCTATAGCTCTAATCTAACTGTAGCCTTTAAGACACTATTGCTACCACTTAACTGCCCCATTCCTTTAAGTGAGTTTATCATCTGTAGCAGAAGGGAACAAACATTCACATTTCCACAAGTGTGTTTCTTTGTCCAGTGCATCAGCTTAAGGCACTAGTGAAGATGATTTGCATTAACCTATCAGACTGAATAAGTCAGCTAAGAGTCAAGCAAATGTTTCCTTCTGCTACCCCTACTGGCAAGCAAGGCTGATGGCTAAGAGCTGTGATGCCTTAAACTGCTTTAACTGGATCAACCAAAACTCACCTTTCAGAGCCCTCATGCTGAGGGCTCCAAGATTAAACAACCAAAACAATTCAGGTAGGACCAATTTTCACTCTTGAACTTCTGTAACTGACCATGCTCAAAATGCTGTTCATCTTCATCATCCAAAATGTCAACTTGTTAATTGTTCTTTGTTCTAATTCAAAATGTCAATGTAAATTGAGAACTTATAAATAGAAGATCACATCATGATTTGGCACATTTTCTCTAAACACAGAGCAATTTTGATGGATCTTCATTTCTCTTGACAACTGAATACTGATGTTTGTCACAATCACAACCTGTTGTGTTCTTATCTGAGAAAAAGTTGCCTTCAAAGTTTTCTTTCCCTAAAGGGCAAGGTGGCTGTAGACAGAGTTAAAGATTACTCATATATTTTTTCGTATTTCCAGGGCATCTTCATGGCCATCTTCAGAACTAGATTTGATCATTACAGTTCTTCCTCTAAGAGATTTGTGGATCTAGGACAAAAAAGTTGGCCCAAGTATACGAAAATACTAGATTTAACAAGGGCATCCAACATAGGTAGGATGAATACATAGACCACTATCTTCATCGCAAATAAGTGAAAAAAAAATCCACTGAATCAGCACAAAAGCTTTTTAAGATGTCATGATGGCTCAGAAGTGTGGAAGGTGAAAAACACCCCTAGGCTTCGAGAACTAGATCAAATCTTAATTGCACTTTGAATTATATGAGCTTAATCAACAGATTATTGAGCAAAGAATAGTTAACTTCTGCAAGCAGATGTCTTGAAATCTCCTCTTTTACAAGAAGATATATGAAAATTTACATAAATTTACTTTGTTAAGGAATGAGTTCAAGGACCCCTCATGAATCGTGATGAATAAATAAACTTAAGGACTTTAAAAATGTCCATTCAAATGCACTTCATATCCTTCAAGGCATCAATATCCAATCTTCATCCACTTCAGCCCAGAGACACTGGAATTTCTTTTTGTTATCAGGATCTAGGATTTTATCTAAACATCAGACAAATGTTTTTCTTTCAAATTCCACAGACCTACATTCAAAACTTGCCAGAATTCTGAACAGGTAGGCTGAGAAGCTGGAGACTAGTAAAGTGTGATTTTTTTTTGCTCACTCTGTAACAGTTTTCATAACAAAATGTACATGTTGTTAAAACAGCTTTCTAACTGTGTTGGAGACTGGGCATCCAAGTTCGTCTTCAGATTATTCTATTTCTAGAAAAATTATTCTCTTTCTCTATCTTTATATCACAAATGTAGATACATCCAAAATGATTCCTTGAACAAACTTACGACAATTTATGACATAGATATTCTCTTAACATAGCAGCACACTCACCATTTTGTAATAGTTTAGTACCCATAAGCTTCCTCATTCTACATATATACATGTACATATATTACATATATACAATATATGTAATATATACAATAGAGATGATGTACCAAATTAAATGCCATTGTAGTTTAAGAAACTAAACATTACAGGAACTACAAGTTTGAGGGAAAAAAAAGAGGCTATGTCTCACCTGTCCTGTTATCAATAGTATTCTCAAAAGCAGGTGTGGCTTTCTTCTTGGAAATGTCTGTGTGTCAAAATGATGAGTTCTTTCAGATTTAGAAATTATTTAATTACTGTGGAACTTTTGTGCAAAATCAAATTGCACTGAAATAACTACAGATACCTCCAAATACATTTCTGCTGAAAGGATAAGTCAATCGCATGAAGAATCATCATCCTGAAAACAGATGTGTTTGGAAGGTGAGCAAATGTTAGGGACAGAGACTGGACATGGGGAGCTGGATTAAAGAAATATCTCAATTTTTCCATTTAACCTGAAATTTTTCCAAAGCAGCAGCCAGAATATCACTAATGCTGAAATCTCCAACATTACTGCTTTCATGAAAATCCTATAATTGCCTTAGATATCACATTAAACTCACTCAGCAAATGAATAAAATAGGGCTGTAGCCTAAAAAATGCATGGTCTAGCAAACAAAAATGGGTCTTTTAAAAATACATGAGAAAAAGTAACATCTCAAAAAGAAATACAAGATTGCAGAGCTTTGTTATAGCAGAGTTGTAATATTCCAGACTTAATGCTGTTTCACAGACACTAAAATCCAGAAAATTCTGAACGGTCATGAATGATCTTGAATAATCAACAGCAAAGTTATTTCATCCTCATTTGTAAAGAATTAAGTTGGAGACTTCAGATCTGAGATGGTTAAATGTGTAGGTGCTCCTCTTTAGAACTGCAAAGACAGCTCTAAAGTAGCAAGACGGACCCTCAACACTGAATTCTGGATCAACAATTTTGGTGACTCCAGTTTAGACTTTATTTTTTTTAAAGAATAAAAATTTAGAATCCAATATTTTACAACTCTGACAATCCTTATGGATCACAGCGATATGCCTCCAGTCATTAGAAATACAACTTACTTGTACTATTTAAATCAACAATTAATACATGTGTA